TTCTTGCTGGTTGCTTCAAGGGTCCTTAAGGTTGTGTTTGAGGGTGTGTTTAAGGGTGCTTAAGGGTGTGTTTAAGGGTTCTTAAGGGTGTGTTTAAGGGTGTGCGTAAGGGTGTGTTTGAGGGTGCTTAAGGGTGTGTTTAAGGGTGCTTGAGGGTGTGTTCGAGGGTTCTTAACGGTGTGTTTAAGGGTGTGCGTAAGGGTGTGTTTAGGGGTTCTTAAGGGTGTGTTTAAGGGTTCTTTCGGGTGTGTTTAAGGGCTCTTAAGGGTGTGTTTATAGACCCCGGGACCCTCTAAAGAGTTAATGTTAGAGGCAACCCGTAACTAATACCCTGATTGCCCCTCCTACTGCTACTACTACTGCTACTACTACTACTACTACTACCACCACTACTGCTGCCTTTGCTGCTCGTAGTTAGTGGTTAGTGGTGGTAGTAGCAGAAGTAGTAGTAGTAGTAGTAGTAGGAGTAGGAGTAGGAGTAGGAGTAGGAGTAGGAGCAGGAGCAGGAGTAGGAATAGGAGTAGGAGTAGTGGTAGTGGTAGTGGTAGTGGTCGTGGTCGTGGTCGTGGTAGTGGTAGTGGCAGTGGTAGTGGTAGTCACAGTAGTGTTGCTACTACCACCACTACGACTACTATGTTTTACTGCTACTTCGACGACGACTACCGCTACGACTGCGTGTACGATTACGACTATGACGACGTCGACGACTACTACTCGAACTACTACGACGACGACGACGACCTTTCATACTCTTAGAATCGAAAACACTAAACCCGACACCAAACCCTAATCTCTTTTTTCTTAGTGGCATTCCTTGTCACACTGTCACACAGGAGTTTGTCGACCCTTCTCACCTCGAGGCGATTGCTACCAATGAGGATTTGAAGAGCGTGTTCCCGGAAGCCTCCAGTGGCCCGACTGTATTTCAGCTGCTAACCGTATACATCTTACAGATGACACATGTATGTACATCTAGGCCGATATAGGCATGTGCATGTACATGTATAGACACACACACACATATATATATATAGGCATATCTATATATACATATACTCATACATATGCATATATATATATATGTATGTATGTATGTATGTATATTTACTTACTTATTCAGTTATTTGTTTAAGTATTCACATACACACGTCTTTACATGCTTCCAGACTGAGATAGCGCAGCATACTTTCCCTGCTATGGCATTCTTCATGTGTATCGCCTTGGCACCGTATAAGCATTTGAACCCTGCACGTCCCTTTCAACTAAGGTCATACTGTGGTGACTTATACCGCGCTCATAACCTGAAGCCCTAAGTGCCCAGGTGGACAAGTCAGGAGCATTTGGCGTGGGCCGAGTGGCTTCTGGCTAGAAGTTTCGGTTGGGGTCCCAGTCTTGTCCTTTGTGGGAGATTATAGAGCTTGATGGCTTCTCCTCTGCTGACTCCGCCAAGAAACCTGACCGAAGCGACATTCACTTGTGTTGATAAAAGGTTTTCCCTGTGTAAAGGTTCAAGAGCTTCGCACTTCCGGTTTCGATGGGCTTACGTAGGGTCGATCCTTTTGTGGGGATGTTATTTACTGGCATCTATTGGAGTTTCAGGCGGAGTGCGAGGATGAACCCGCCCGCTATGGCACCCATTTCATTGAGATTGAGGAAGGAAGCCAGCAATATACTCTGACCTGCGCTGTGAAGTTGGCCCCAGAGGAGGAATTCCCACCTGAGCCCCGTGCTACAAAGGGAAAGGCTGTAGCCGTCGGTAAGGAAAGGCTGCCTGAGGGTTGGTAGATGCCCTGGCCTTTTGTATAGAAGGTTCTTGCAAACAGCACCATACCGAACCCGCGCCACTTGGAGCAATGCTGGAGCCGCAGTTGACCTGCAGATCCCCAAAAAAGACCTGTGTCGTTGTTTGTGCTCTGCGTCCATCGCTTGCATGGCGACACAGCCAAACAGTCTCACGGTGCGACTGCCTCAAGGCAAGAGCTTCGCAATCTGCTTATGCATGCGAACGGCGTGTACAGCTTCGTGCGAGAGGGAGTGAGTTTCTTTGCACGCCCCAACATCTCCTGAAAAGAAGCAAGCATGGCTGCGTGCATGGGCGAATTCAGGTAGTTCACCCCCTTGATTGAACATGGCTAAGTTTCGATCGCTTTGTGTCTTAATGGTTCGCAGACGGCCAATCCTTCAGGTAAAACAGGCAGGTGACCTACGTTGGATACCCTAAACCCTACCCGAATTGCATGATGGGTTACATCGATCGGCCATTAACCCATGAGATTGGCTTCTTTCACAACCATTCCTTCCCGAAGCTGGCAATCCAGCGGAACGGCCCTCCTGCCTCATCAATGTCCCCAGTAAAGCAATATAGCACCATCTCAAGCCGCAATCAGACCCTTAAGCAGCCTCTAAGATACCGCCGTAGAACACAACAGACCATAAGATTCATACAAAGATACTCCTTACCGTGGAACCCTAGCAAAAGAAACGAAGCCTAAACCATGAAACCCTAAATCGCTGTTTTGCCTTGCAACACACCAACCGACGTGAATAAGAGGGAATGGACTCCCTTGTCGGCTTTATCTCGTGGTCTGGTTGGCAGAGGACTTGCCCTGGGGCTCTAAAGAGACAGTTAGGGTTTAGGGTGTAGGAACCTACTTTGGGATCTGAACAACTCCAAGCACTCCTTATGGATTATGGCTTGTTGAGAAGCACAAGAAGCACGCTAAGGCCAGGTACACCAAAGCCTCTAAGGCGCTAAGTTTGCAGAGTCACGCCTTAAGGTTTCAAGTCTCGAACGAACCCCTGTGTATGTATATATATATATTATATGTAAATAAATCAAATATGTGTGTGTGTATGTATATATATATGTATATGCACGCATACATACGCAGAACTCTACCAAATCCTGCAATTCCTAGAACCATCTCCAGGGGCTAAGCCGACGCCTGGTTGTGCTTTGAGAGGTCTCTTCGTCATGGGCCGAATCCATTTCAGGCTGCAGGAGGAGAGTCGCCTTTTTTAAATCCTTCGGTTACAGGGTTTAGGCCTCTTTGTGGAAAGGAAGGGTGTGGGGTGGGGTGGGGTGGGGTGGGGTGGGGTGGGGTCTTGAGTTTATAGGGTTTGAAAGGATTTGTTTAGGATTTCAGGGTTCTGGTGTAGCTCTACGCGAACACTCTAGACATGGTTCTTCGAGGTTGGTGTCTTGAAGTATTAAGCAATGCTGCTTCGGAGAAAACCCTTCTTTGAGGGGTTTTGGGGCTTTCAATTTCTTCTTCAGATGTTGGGCTTTCGAGATGCATCAATTAGGGTAGCTGGGCGAAACAACCTTGCATCCCAGCTACGGCAGTGCGTTATGAGCTTAGGACCTGTAGGGGCAAGGCTTAGCTTCGTGAGTTGCTCAAGTAAAGACTTTGGAACTAAGTTTAGTAAAGAGCTTCGGATGTGCGATCGCTCGTGAGGTCAATTGCTCTTTCTTGTGCAGGGCTAGGTCGGAGGTGAAGCCGAGAAACAGCTTCTGTGCGCCCTCATGTTTCGGACTAAACACTTGAAGCTATAGTTGCAAGAGACTTTTGGTGTTCTAATGGTGGTGAATTTCCAAGAGACAAGGAACTTTATGCCACCAGATAAAATAGGGCCTATGCAGCGCTTTTGATGAAGTTAAACGAACGCATTCCACTTCTTGCTTCAGAATCTCTGGAAATGTAATGTTATGCGAGAATAATGTGTGGAAAGGGTCCTATGGTGTTATCAAGTGAAAAGCAAGAGCGCGGTTTATTCCATTAATTCGTTTGTCTTACCTTTAATGAATTAGGCCCAAACAATATTAACTGTATCTGGGTTGTTTACTTCATTCATCAGCGGTTTGCACTGTTAATTTCCTTCATGTGTCCCTTTGCTTTTAATGAATATTTTGGTATGCAAGCCCTCAACTCCTAAAACATGCACTGTAAACCATCCTAAACCGTATAATGTAGCTGACATGACTCGGGTTTGTCTCTGAGGGCTAAGGCCCTGGACCTGTAGCATCTCTGTCAGAAGCAGCAGAGAACACTCTCTTGAAGATTAGTTGCCCGTGTGGCCCACGTAAAGGGCTTACTATACCATCGTTACACGCCGGTTTGTGTGTGGGATTGTGCGGGTTTACTTACGTATGCATGTATGCATGTCTGTATATAGATATATAGATAGAAGTAAATATGTGTGTGCATTTGTTGTGTTTGTTCGCGTGTGCAGAACGAGAGAACTGGGCTGCCGGCAATTGTCAGCAGTTGCATCTAACAGCTGACAGATGACATTGGCCCTTCCTCCATGCCCGGTCATCGAGAATCTGGTGAAGAACTGATTTAGGCACGGGCTCACGGTGGTTTGATAGTTGTTCTTCGAATGCATCCACAGGGCTCACAGGCCTAGAGTTTTTTTCACCTCGATACAGGCGGCTAGCCTAGGCTAGCTAGCAGTTAGTTTTATGATTCCATGACCATCTGCATGCTCGAAGAACCTACAAGTCCTACCTCATAGTTTCATGCCCCTGCGTGAGACTGAACCCACCCTAAAGCCCTACGAAGAGGATACTCTGCAAAGCCACCCGTCACAGCCTCGGGAAGAAAAGAGCGAGCGCAATGCTCGCACGTCTGCTGTCAGCTAAACTGTTTATAACACTACGATATGCTGTAAACAATGTGCAATATACTAGTAAATGAACGATCAAAAAGTTGTGCATGTTCTACTACCGTATACCATAATATACTGCCACACTATTCCATCAGTGCCCTTGCAGCAACTTCGAAACGTCATGTTGTCCCCGTTATTTCGCTACGCTTTTGCAAGGCTTAGGGCTTGTTGTCTAGAATTTCGGAGTTTAGGGGTTGGAGTTGCAGATCATGCTTTATAGCCAAAAGCAGCCCTTCTCCTGAGGTCATCTAAACGCATGGTTCAAAGTAGTCTGGAAACAAGACAATCCATGTTGATTCATCTCTGCAAGAACTAGCCCCTTGAGCCTTGAATGCCATCTCAACCTACCCGCGAAGCTACGTTGGAGGTTTGTTAACGTTGTCTTATCAGGAGTCCAGACACGCTGAGGGCGCATTCCGGGGCTCGGCATCTGCGCAAAGTGAGCTGCTAAGGTGCTAAGGTCTTAATTCTGCTACCCTGTTCCCAACCCTGCCCTAAACCCTGCCCCGCCCAATCCGTGCCGTTTGCTCATACACCCCACCTAGGTTGTCGAAGCAGGAGCTCCTGAAGTAAGTAGCTGCAGCCCTCGGCCCACTCGACCCCAAACCCTGTCCCAAAGCTTACATCCGAATTGAGGACAAGACAAATTAGAACTAGGGTTCAGGGAAAACCCCCAAGAGGTGTAGAGTTTAGGGGAACCCCGGAAGCTCGAGGCCCCGAAGATCCGACATCCCAGAAGCCCCAAAAGCGGAAGTACACCCAAAAGCCTAAACCCCAAACCCCAAACCAACAAAACCCAGAAGGGGAAAGCAACAAAAAGCAAAATAAAAAAAGAAAAAACAAAAAACTAAAACCCAACCGACAAGAAAGGGCAGAGCATGCCGGTCTCCAGAGGCCGAGAGGCCCAACGAGGATCCGAAGCCCCCGCTTGGGCCTCAGGGAGCTTAGGGCTTACATAAGGGTTTAGGGTTTAGGGGTTTAGGGTTTATATAGGGGTTTATGGTCTAGGGGTTAAGCTGAAGCCCAGGGAGCCCAATACCCCTTTAATAAGGAATATACCTTAAATTACTGGCCCTATTATAGCCTGGGGTTTTGGCGGGCATGTTCTCGTTCATATAGTTCTAAGGAGGAGCCATAGAGGATCTATTTGGGGTTCAGGGTGGGGGGGTTACGGGGCTTGCTGCTTTACTGTAGGGGTTTTCTTAAAGCTCGAGGCTGCCGGATCGAAAACCATCAGCCAGGGTTTATGGGGTTGAGGGTTTGGGGTTTGGGGTTTTTAGGGTTTAGGGTTTAGGGTTTAGGTTTAGGGCTTAGGTTTTCGGTTTAGGGACCCGCAACCATCACGAGGGAGGCTGGAAAAGCACACCTCAGAAGAGAACTTCACCCCTAGGAGCTTTGAACGGTTGGCTGGTGTCGTCACTCCGCAGGAGGAATCCGAGCCAACAGGTGGTGCAAGTTCCAAGACAGCCCAGCACTAGACATAATGTTTAATGTCAATTTTTCTTCATCTTTTGACAGAAACATTGAAGCAAATTGGTGTTGTTTTTGCACGTGCCTTCCTTGACAGCAGACGCATGGCATTAGGTTTTCATTACGTTGCCAGAGTTGTCCGAGTGCGAGTGTGTTCCTCCAACAAGTTCCGGAAGTCTTATGTGCAAACCTTTGCAAGCCCGCTTCCATTTCTGAAGGCCCTCCAGCAAGAATGCTCGAAACCCAATATTCATCCTGTATATTACCCAAAGGGTCCAAGTACCATCATAGTAGGTACTTAGTAGGTATTTGGGCCCCAAAAGTATATACCATACTATTACTTGGACTCTTTGGGTTATGGGCCCTGTAACATTCAGAGCCGCCGAGGAAATGCCCGTCGGGGGGGCCGCGACTTGGTTAGCAACTGGCTGAAGGGTTCTCGAAGCGTTCGGCGCGGCTTTTTTAAGGATCCTAGAATCGGTTACTATACATGCCCTATTAGAAGGGTCCTTAAGATTTTTAATTCTACAAGGGTTTCCGACCTTACTGCGCAGTCCTTGTTGTTTCAGCTGATGGGGCGAATCGCTTCTCGATGTCGGGCAGGAGTCAGGTTTAGAGGTTGAGGGTCTAGGGTTACGGGGTGG